GCTAAACTTTGATTGTTCTCCTTTGTCTCTGTTCTCTGTTTTAAAACAATAGAACCTTCAGAAATGCAACTAAATATTTTGAATCGTTTTTAAAGTCTAGATCTCGAACAAATCAGTCAACAACTGAACACTTTACTGGAGATGAGAAGTAAGATCCAAATTGGTGCATCTCTGCTTTTGATTTTTTTTCTTTTGTCTTTTTGTCAACGTTCAACTCACGTAGTTATTAATTTAGTGATAATACGTCTACTCCAGATTGCAGCACATAGTTTCAATATGTGATGTCCATGAATAAAATCCCAGCTCATCATCAGGCAATGTATATTCAGCCCTTGAAGAGCAAAACACACAACATACTCTTTGCTATAAACATAAACCTGAAAGTAAACCTGTAGGACTTTATTAGAAATGACAAGACTGAAGAAACGTTGAGATTGTTGTCACAACCAAAAGCTTTCATGAGCATAACAACAAAGTTTTTCTGAGTGTAGTGGAGATGTGTTAGTGGATAGACAAGGTAGGCAAAGAACAATAAGAATAGGTGAATAGCCGTCTGAAAATGCACATATGTGACTGAAAAACACAAAGAAAGATGCGAATAAAGCAATCCACGCTGCTTTCTTTTTATGTCTCCCCAGGACTCAGCCTTCTATTGATAAGGAATATGGAAAAAAATGTAGCCAAGATAGATTTATTTCAGCACAATTAAGTTATGTCAATTTTTTACATACATAAATATAGCAGTGTTCAATGAAGGTGCCTTTAGCTGCCAGTCTAATAGCAGTGAGAAAAAAAAAAAAAAAACAACAGGATATTTTGCCACTGGAGGTTTTTATTTTCAGATTAAAGAATTAGACATCGAAGTTAATTAGGCAAATCCTAACTATACTTGACATTGCAAGACTGTCTTTTTCACCTAACATATGACCTTGCTTTGAATTGTTGTTTTACTTTTGGGAAAAACATGTCCAGCACAGTAAAAAAAAAAAAAAAATCAAACTAAATAAATAAAATAAGTACGTACTTCTTTCTCTTTAACCTGCAGCTATTTTTATCCACGCTGCCTGTCTTCAAAACCCCATCCTCCTCTCAAGTCTACACTTTCTCTCTCTCAAAAAATCTGAATGTGATTGAACCTCTCATTCGTTCTCCTCTGCCTTTGCCTCCTCATTGCATAACGCCTTGGGCTAGGAGTGGAACATCTAGTGCACTACTTCACTGACACAGCGTGGTACAGTAACCCTTTATTTAATGTGAAGATGCTGCTCCCTCAGACCAACACACCGCACTGGAGTTTGGCGTCAGAGGGCACGACAGAAGCATGTCCTTGTACAGCTGTTGGCATGATTTGTTTTTGGTTTTTCAGCTTTCACTTTGCATAAATTCTCCATTGATTTTGTAGATGATAATAAAGAGTGCTACAGTGTCTTGCAAAACCTTTGTTATTCATATTTTGCCACAAACACAAACTTTGACGGATTTTTCTGGGGTTGAGGTTTGTGATATGCCAACATAAAGTAATGCATACGCATGGGAGAAAATGATAAATGCTTAAAAAGCCTTTTTGCAAAAATGTAATAAGAAACAAAACCTGCATTACGCAATGTCTTGGAGTAGGCTAAATCTAAATCTAATTGCAAGACTTTTTAACTTCTTTACAAAGAAGTACAGTAGATGAGGAAAGCTGCTCGAGACAGACCCCATAAGACCTGTAGCTGCATCAAGGACTCTGAAGTATTGACGAAGGATGAAAACATGCAACGCGTTTGAAAGCCATATTTTTTTCCTTCCGCTTCAAAAAGTCTCGCGCTATTATTTTAACCAAACCCAATGAAATCCTCAAAAATCTTTAAAGTTTGTGTTGAGACTAAAATATGAAAAGGTCAAGCATGAGTATGAAAATGTTTGTGATACACACCAGATGTGAGTTGTGGGTTTCAAAAAAACTTTTCAACTTTGATTTGTCTTGTTCATTTATTCCATCACTTTAAGTCTTGTGCATGCTTTTTTTTTTTTTTTTTTTTCCAGCTTTACCATTTGAGGTGTTAATGGGTGCAGATGCATTTCATACCTGGAGTCCTCTGTGTAAAGCATGAAACAACTTCTCTGTTCTTTTAACTCTGATCCAGCCTTCGGCGTGGTACATCACAATATTGACGTACCATGAGACCATCCAGGCTTTTGCTACAATCATGTCCTTCAGCAAACTCTCACAATTTCTCACTCCATATATTCCCCTTCCTACATGCTGTTTTCCAGTCACTCGCTTACTCCTCGTGGTGATTGAAGCTGCAGACGAGAAAATCGCAGTTGGCCACGACATCTTCCAGGTGCCGCAAATTGGCACTTGGGTGAATTTCTGTTAATGCGATAGCTATCATTAGAAGCTGAGATATTTACCTGCATGACAGTGCATCAGAAAGCTCAGAGTGACTGCTGCAAATTATTAGTATCTGAAGCAGACACCTGTAGATGCAAATAATTACTGGCTGCAAGCCTGTAGGCATGTCATGTCGCCATCACACACCTCTCCCCCCTCCAGGAGGAGGTATAAATACGCAGTGCAGTGTGGGCTAATGACATGCCATTAAAGGTGCCAGGTTACTGACGTGCTTCCATTAATAGACTTTTCAGACCGGATTTGTTATGAACTCCAGATGAAACGTAGAATAAAGTCGGTTTTTAAAGTTTCTCAGCGTGAGTGCAGACGAGATCAAAACATGAAATGGGATAAAAGTTGTGTTGATTATGGTCATGTCGCTTATTAACAAAGTGCATGGTGACATCTCCTGCTAATTGTGATTCGTCTTTTGAATTATTAGAGCCATAATTCTTCCCCTCTGACACTGAATATGGAAAAACAAACTAGTAACATAGTGGAATGGCAAAGATAAAAGCCCTTCTGCAAGAAGCACCACAAACATTTATTCTTGAGACAATTTGAGTTGCAAGTCTTTGAGAAGAAAACAATAGTTTCACTTGGCAGAATTGGTCCAAAAATAAGCTGCAGTGTGGCAAGGGACCAGGAGATGGAGCTGTGGTGCCTAAGATTGTACCCCAGCCCACAGCAGAAAATGACCACAGCAAACCTGACCAGTGCAGATATATATATCCTCTTACCGTCTACTCAGAGGAGCATAGTTGTGCTAAGATGGGATTCAGGCTCATTAGTAGCTATTCATGGTTTCAATTGGGTTGAATACTGCAAGATCCTGCCAAGGCACAGAGGTCCCAAAAGACCAGATGCTCAGATATCCAGCGGTAAAATCTGACGACCACTGAGTTAACAGATGTATGTGAAACTCAACGGCTCATGTTAGAAACAGCATCAGGTGTCTGTATTGATGTTTCGCGCTACTTAGTATAAGAACACAAATCGACTTTTTCTGGAATAAATCTGAAATGGAAATGATGAAAAGTTGAAGTTGGTTTGCTTTGTTATACAGCCCCTTGAATTTAATTGTTTTGTGGAATTACAACTGCACATTTGGAAGTTAAAGCAGAATTTAAAGTGATAAAATAATATCTGTCTGTACTATTGTATCTTCATAAAAGGTAGATATGTAGAACCACAATATTTGTTGCAATAAATGTGTGCGATAATTGGAAAAAACAGTATGATTTCAGTATTTGGTTGGCTTTTGTAGTTTATTTTCTTGAGTAGGGGTTAATTGCAGTAGATTCCAGTATTAAAGAATAAGATCGCAAGTTTGTGTTTTTTCTAAGTCGAAATCTGAAAAGTGTGGCAAGAATTTTCTGGGATAGTCCCATCTCAACACTAGATTCATCCTTCATTGCAACTGTTAGCCTACATTGCTATCAGCATAGCACATTTTTAGCCACCCTTAATTGCAAAATATCTCAGTCAAGGGAGAACTGAAAGCATTTCTAAACTATGCTTTTCAAGACTTATCGATTTTGTTTTTTAGTTTTTTTTTTTTAGGTTTTGACTTGGCCATCCTTACACATAAAAATGCTGCTTTGACCTATAAAAAAATCAAGCTGATCTTGCAGCTATTGTATGTTTATGTACTTTTTTTCTCTAAATCAAGTAATTGAACAAGAGCAATAAAGGTTATGCTAATAATCTGCCACTCAACTTACACTATTTGTACCTATATGTTTTTTTTTATTCATTTTATGGGTTTGATGTCATCCTGGAAGGAGAAACCCCACCACAGGTTGATCAGTTATTTTAACATCTTACAACTTTCCTTTAGATGGGGCAGCTTACCTGACTCAACTAAAAAAGAGGGACCCCACAGCATGATGCTGCCACCACAAGGTTTTAAAATGCAGACGGAGTGTTTACGTTTGATGTTCATTATTTTCCACCACATATTGCTTTTTGCATGTTTAAGGTGTTACTTTATGTTGGTATGTGATATGTTGAGATTTGTTACTGTAAAATGGATAATTCTATAAGTTCTGAACAATGTGGAAAAACCACTGTATTGTTTTTTAAAAACCATTCTTTTAAGACTAGTATGTGAAGAAGAAAGAAGAAATCATATGGACCAAAACTGGTCCTGGTTTAGACAGTTAGCTTCAGTTTAAAACTGTAAGCTTCTAAAGGGAAATATGGCCATTTATTATGAATTTGTTGTCTCTAAGATATCTCTGGTTTAATTGTGTGGTGGTTCAACAACCCCACACGGAAAATGGCTCAACAGAACCCAAAACTAAAGAGTACAACATGAAAAACTTCTTCCTCGCTTGTTTTTAAATTGTCCTGCGTGTCGTTGCTGTTCCCCATTTTGGGAACAGTTAAGGGCCGTTCAAAGAAAACAGCCTTTATTTTGAAGAGTAAACAAACAAGTGGGGAAAAAGGCATAATGCTTGTATCCTTTCTGATTTGAAAATTCACTCACAGCTGCAAAATACTCAGCAGTGTGGTTACCATGGGGATCACAAATGCACCAGCTCTGAAACAATGACTATTTGCTGTTTTCTCTCTTTTTGTATTTATTTATTTATTCTTTTTCCCTTTTCTCCCGCAGCCTCGAACGCTACAGCCTTTCAACCCCTATCTCAACGAGCAGCCGCACCAGGAAAGACTAATAAAAACTCCCCCCACCGAGGGCCACAGTAAGCTCACGCGGAGCAGATCAGAGGAAGCGACTTGCAAAGATAATGACCGTCCTCTTGAAGCCATTGAAGTAGATGTGTCAGGGGCGGGTGGCTCTGACAAGCTGAGTCATCTGCCCAGGACCAACCTGCGCTGCCCCCGCTTCTGTGCTCCACGGGGAATAACTGGCACAGACGGTCCAGCGTCAGCACCTCCGTCCGCTTCGCAGCTTGGGCGGAGAGCTCCCACTGCGCCAGCACAGAACTCTGACACGCCGAGATCAGCTCGCCCTCGCACGCTGCAGCCTCCTCGCGTCCACAAGCCGACGTCTTCACTCACGTCGGATTCAGTTGGTGTTGGCGGCTCGGCCAATCTGAAATCTGGCCGTTCTTCGGGGCCTGCGGCTCACCAGACAAAGCAGCTGCCGCCTCCGACGAGAGGCCTTCCTTGCTTTAACGCCGAACCCCGGGGGCAGACTCCAAAGCTGAGTCAATCTTCACTTCTTCAGCCTCTCAGAACTTCGGAGCCTCGCTGAAATTCGCAGGGAAAGTTGGGGAAGGTGTCATTCAAAGTCTTTGGGGCAGCCAGGATGCCTTTGAGTCACTCCTGCCTCCCAAAGCCAAATAATACCCCAAGGAAGCAAATGACATTGTCAGTGAAATTGAACCTCTTCTCCCCAGGCCATATTAGTTTTAGATTTTTTTTTTCCTTTTCCTTTGACTTATCTCGATAATTAGGGGTTGACTGTAGTTTTGTTCCGTGACTGCTAATGGTGCAATTTTTACATTGGCTGCCAAAACTACATCGTAGGATGTGTCTTTCAGAATAGATTTTATATTACAAGTCAATTTCATTAGCTTTGCACATGTCAATGAATACTGAAGGAAACAAGTTTCACACTTTGCACTTGACATTTTATTTTTTTTTTGGCGTTTTTCTTTGCAACAGCCTCTGGCTAATGTCCCATTTAAAATTCCAGAACCTGTTAACTTTAGACAGCTTTGCCCTTTGACACACAGGTGCATTTGGTTTTTAAACACAGAGTCGATGTGATTGTGACCTCTGCCGTACCTTAGAAGGCCCAGGGGGAAACTAGAGCGAAAACAAGAAGTGAGACTTGAGTCTGAAAAAAATAAGCAAATAAATGAAAAGGGGAGGAAGGAGAAAGAAAAAGTGAAAAGCACAGCAGCAGACTGAAAAGCTAATTTGTCAAAGCCCTCTGAAGCTTGTCACTTCCGGACAGAGAATATGTGCATGTGTAAACGTGTTTGTTTGTGTGCAGGGCTTTGAAGAGCAAAGGAAAACAGCTCCCCCACCACAGATGTGTGCATCATTGTAGCTCAGTTCACTGTATTGCGCTTATATTTTTGGGTAAACATTACAAACTCTGCACATATTAGCAAAAGGGGTCGTTGAGGGGTCGTTGAACCCTCCATTGAAATGCTTTATGATGTAAATATAGGAGCAGAGCAAAACAATACGCCTCTGTTAGTGAAGCTGTGTCAATAAAGGTGTGCCGGTCAAAGTAACAGAACACATCAGTATAATTACGCTTAAAGGCATGAGAGTGAGCATAAATAGAAAAAACTAAGAAGAAAATAAGTTTCATTGGAATAGAGTCACTTTGAGAAAGTTTTTTTTTTTTTTTTTATATCCAAAATTAGTTCTACAAGGCAAAAACAGAACCAAATCTGTTGATATTGCAATGTAATGAATAAAGTTTATAACGGTGTGTCCCAGTGTAACCCCTAAATATTGGAAGCTGCAAGCAATTTGTTCCCATTATTCAAAGGCTGAATCAAATTTGGTTTTCTTTAGTAGCACAGCAAAAGATTCAAAACGAATGTAATCTTCAGTGACTTAAAACAAGTAGATTTGGTTTATATACAGAAATATAAAAGTTTAAAAAAGTGTCTTTAAAATTATTTAATTTAACAACCTATGCTGCATAAACAGAGAACACTTTGTAGTTATTTTTATGACCATGTTTTTCAGACACAACTTGTGTCTCATATCGATCATTCATCACTTACTACCTGGATAGGGTGCATTCTGTACCGGCTGTGGCAACTGAGTAATTTTCTATACTTTAGTCATAGTCTTCTATAAAGTATTGCAGTTATGTGCCTCCAATAAATATCTCTCAGGAAGAGAGAGTTCATGTGATGTGGGGTTATAATCTGGCAGCAAAGTAGCCAGGAATTAGGATTTAAATGAAAATGAACGAAGAATGAACTACAAATGAGAGTTAAATGCGATTCGCAGAAATGCTTAACTCCAATAAAAAATACCACTCATCCGGTATGGTTTTAAGTAAACCAAACCACAGGGCATCATCGCAGAACTCATTATTTTGGTATGCAGTTTGCACTTCTTCAGCTTTTACTACCTTGTAAAGTGAACTCTTATTGACTTAATTGCAACTGCTAATGGAGAGAAAAACAACGGCAACAAACAAACAAATGTGCCTTGAGTTGTTTACCAAGGAAGGGTACTTTTGAATTTTAGCGATCTACTTGTAAAGGTACACTGAATGCAGATTGTTTGGTTAGCATTTAGTTTTGCTCTAAGCTGCATGAGTTTGCCATCTGAGTGGTAACCTCTCCATCAATGTTCAAAATCCGGAGGATCAAGACTTCCTTTTGAAATGAAATTGGGCATAATTATTATCTTTTTATTTGTGATTAAAAAAAATGTTTTAATATATTTTGATAATGATATATATATATATATATATATATATATATATATATATATATATATATATATATATATATATATATTTCCTTCCGTGATACGTTAACAAAATGTATGTATTTAGTTGAAAACTATGCAAAAAGTCGTTTTGTTTTTATTAGAGCTGTACATTATTTTGAATTCCAGTCATATGTGCACAATGGCAAAAGGCTTCTTGGATTTAGCTGGTTAATTAGCATATTATAATTAACCAGAAAACTTAAGCCTGCACCCGTTGTTTTGAAAGAGCAGAGTAAATACAATGCTGCTAATAAGTTCAGTTAGTGTCCAATATTCAACAATAAAATAACATTGACATGTTTTTCCAATATTTTGAGGTCCTTGTTGTATTTAAAATGCATTTCTTGTTTCTCAAAGAAAACAAATTGACATTTTTCAGAAAAAAACAAAACAAAACAAAACAACAAAAAAAAAACACTCACCTTAATACTGTTTATTTGTCACAACTAGGGTGAGGGCTGCACCTGATCAAAACCTGCTCCCTGGTCAGAGCAGACTTGTTGACAGCTGCTCAATGTTTCACATGCTGAAACAGGGTCAGTGGTGTTGCAAAACCAAAACAAACAAACATGATTCTAAATAATAATGATAAAAAAGCAATATTTTCATTCAGGGCCCCACGATATGGTGGCATGATATCAAAACATATTTCTGCCAACCCTAATCCTGCACAGCAGTTTAACAGGAATTAATAAAAAAAAGTAAAGTAAAGCTGCTGTCTTACTCTATCTTTACATCCTTTGGAGGATCCAAGCAGTTATTTGTCCTCCTTTTTCCTCTTCGCACATCTCTTTGGATGGATCAAAGGTATTCGCGGTGTGTGTTCAGGTAGCCAGCCTCTGGGGCTTCTGCGGTCTCTCTGCGGGTGTTTTTGGAGAGCTGTGTTTATCATCCCTTCGCAGAGTCCTTTCCGCAGTCAAACGCTCGTGAAGTGTCCCCGAATGGAGCGCAGCAGTGTGTTAAAAAGGCCTTCTGACAGCGACGCTGCTCTCTTCTCTGTCACGCCGCGTGACCGCTCGCTGTACGCCTCTGGCGGTGTCCGGTCGACTGCGTCCAATAATGCACCCCGCGCAGACGAAGTGAGACAGGCCCACGCGCGCGCGCGCACACAGCGTTGTTAAGCGAGATGCAGAGACGCACGTGTACAGGAAGTGTTGTTTGCTAAACTCAAGGAGAGAGAGAGAGGACAGTCGGAGGAAACGCACGCATCTTTTCTCACGACTACCACACGGTGCACGTGCACCCTTGGAACGTCTTCACATTTTGTGGCGCCGTCTTTAATATTCTTAGTGGGAGTTCATGTGAGAGACGCGCTGAGTTTTGTAGAATCAACTAGTAGCTGCAATTAGCAAACAAGATTTTTGACGTCTTCTTTTTATATATATATATAATATATATATACATATATATATATATATATATATATATATATATATATATATATATATATATATATATATATATATATATATATATATATATTTTTTTTTTTTTTTTTTTAAGGCCAAACTTGTGGAGGGCACACGTAATAAATTCAAGTCTGCAGCTCCTCCAGAGTAACTGTGGGCTTCTCGGGAACATCTGCCTGTCATTTTAAGTGGACAGAATGTTCTGTGTCCTGACAAAGTCTTGGAAAAGTTCAAGCGGAGCGAATACTTTTGGCAAGAGACATAAATGAGTTCATTTAGTTCAAACTGCTCCTGCTGCAGATCAGATGAAATATTTATTTATGGGTGTGAGTGACAGTGAGAATTTGTACAGCAAACAAAGCATGTTTACCTGTTGGAAGGCTCGACATTGTGCCAAACCAGCCAAGCGGTCGACAGGGCTCTTTGAAGCCAAGAAAAACATCTTTTTTTTTTCCAAATGAAATCGGAAACAGAGATGGAGAACAAAAAAAAAAAAGGAAAATAAGACGCACAGCGTGAAACAACAAAAAGGAAAGGGATGAGATGCTGTGATGGATGATGTTGATGGGCTAAATGTTGTGGGCAGGTAAACAAAATGCTCAGGATATTAACTGCATTGGGGTAAGAGAGTAGCCTGATCCCCTCAGCTGGGTCGCCCAGCGATGCCAAATAGGAGATCAGTGCAGCTTGTTATGTTTACTCAAGTTTGTATATATGCATCTCCAGACACTTCTGGCTGCCAGCATTTGCATGTGTCCATAACAGAAAGAGAGAGAGAGGAAGAGAGGATGTGTTTTCCAAGGCTTACCCATGCCAAGTGAAATGGGCTTGTGTCGTTCTGTTGTCCCAATCTCCAAATCAATGACTGTGCTCAATTCAGCAATCAGGCCAATCAGTCTCGCTAGCTACGCTGCAGCAAAACCTCAACAACCAGAAAGCTGCAGCACCAAATTTGATTAATTAGAATATGAGATGTGGTTTTAAGGCCAACAAATTACAAGGCTACCGAGCAAAAAAACAAGCAAAAAGAAAAGGTTCTGCAATATTACACTTAATGACAAAAGAGTGCACTGCTAATTATTTTTATTGTGGGCTTTTACGCGTCTCTAAAGATCCTTTTGTTTTTTTTTTGTTTTTGTCATGCAACAACAAACAGCAATAAGGAGACATCTCAGAACTTGGAAATGGCAAATTTGTTGATGTTTCAGGATAACACCGAAGCAACGCAAACAATACAAAGTGGTATGATATGTTTGGTGTCTTTACTGCATGAAAAAGATGGATATATAAAGTCTGGACATAAAATTAGGTACTTGCACTCGCTGCACTTAATTTAATTTAGTACCATTGAGCTTTTTACTTTGATTTCATAGCCAATTATGCAATTAACATTTCAAATATAAAAAAAAAAAAAAACAGGACTTTATCCAAATGAAACTAGAAATTTCTTATAGAAATAAAGAGATTCTTTTTAATGTTTGATTTGAAGGATGTTATAAAAACTATCAACCACGAGGCTTGCAGTTTTTTTTTTTACTACCCCCTCATCCGCTCAGGACCAGGAGGGAAAGATTAAATGGCTCTTCTGATTTTAAGAGGCAGTTATTCGATTGCCACCTGAACAGCACTTGATCATCTTTACTATCCTGCTGTGTGTTTTTTAAATTACTAACCAACAATATAATTACAATTAAAAACCACAGCTGGGTAATGAAGCAAGGGTTTCTTACTTTTAATAAAAGAATCATGAGGGGGGGAAAATCAGCAAATTCTGCTTGTTATGTCGATAATTTCATAAAAGTCACATTTGGGAGAACTCACGGATGTCTGGTTACTTTTTACATAATTGATTTGAGGTGTGAGGCATTTAAATGTTATTTGCGTTACTAAGGGTGCGTTCCATGCTTTACCTGACTTAAGCAGCGATGGCTACCGCTTTAGGTCACAAAGTGAAAGCAAATGGCAACGACAATTATTGCCAGATACATTTCAGTTTTTCTGATTGGTTAATAGTAAAATCTGATCATTCCAGTCTGCTCTGGTCGTCTTCACAAACCACTTCCGTGCGCTTTATTGTTGGCAAATGTAACCAACTCTTGCAGTGTTCTGAAACATTTTGCTGTGGTTGTAAACTTCTCTCAAAAAGCAAAAAACAATCTTGCTATAAGTCAAAGGGGAAAACCGCAAAAAGCAATACAAACACATGTACACTGATCTTTTCCTTTATGCCTTACGGGATGTCAT